CGGGAATAAACAACATGGCGACTGCTTTAGAAAGAAGGTTGCATTTTATTGAAGAGGAGAGCCAGACAGGAAGATGGCTCTGGAAAAAAGAGAGTGAGCACATGTAGGGAGTGGGTTTTTATACCCTCTGGAGCCTTTTGTTTGGAGTTGTTTCCTGTTCCTGTTTGAGGCTATTTCCTGTGTCATGAATTCTGACCTGAGACTGGGTGTGCCCTTTGGCATTTGTGGGTTAATCCTATTATGTCCTGTCTTAGAGTTTGGGTGGGGTATGTAGATTTTAGGCGTCTTTGTCTTCTTAATCTTCTAGCTGGGGGGGGCCTCCATCTGCATTTCTACAGAGCTGGTTTCTTCTTGGGAGAGGGAGACTTGGGGCTATTAAGAAAAAACTGGGCATGCTATTCTGCTCTTTAAGATCCTTTGAGGAAATATATTTTTCTGCCTTTTTAATATTGCCTTCTCTGGGGGGCTCTGACTTCCCACAATACGGACAATGAAATACGCCTTCTACTACGTAGGCACTGAATTTTGTGCACTTAGCTTTGCTGCTTTAAAGGACATTCTTTTTGCCTGCTTCTTCTTCTTCTTTTTTTTGAAATTGCATCATTTTGGAGGCTCCGTGATTGCATAATGGTGAGGAGGTGAAAATCATGAAGCTGAGCCAGAATAAGAAAACCGCAAAACTCTTTTTTAGATTTTTGAAGTTTAAGGATTTACATATTTTTTTTGAAGGCCTTTCTTCATTCTCTGCGGTTTTCATATAAAACCTTAATAAGTGTTGATTTCATGAAGTCTGGTGTGTGTGTGGGGGAGGGGTAATTGTTCCATTTTAGCTGAAGCTGATTGCTCAGGAATCAACATCAGACTAAAAGATTCCTGACTGTGTTGAGATATTTTGCTGTTTGACCACAAAAGGGAACCAAAGAGCAGAATATATTGCTCCTAAAAAACTATCAATTTAATAGAATAAATCTGTACACAATAAACCTGTAATGGTGCTGTTTGACCACAGGAGAGAGCCAAAGACTTAAACATTGCCTGTAAACTACTAATTTAATAGAATAAACTTTTAATTTAATTTAATAGAATAAAAAGTTGGTAAATTATCACACGTGGTTGCTAGAAAAAAAAAAGAAAGGAGAGGTTTAGAGAAACCTGAAGCCCTAAGAAATATTTTGGAAATATTCAAGTAATTCAGGCAGTGGAAGCAAAGATTGAAGTAAAAGTTGATAGGAGATTCATCAGCTTAAAATAATATAATAATAATAATAATAATAATAATAATAATAATGATAATAATAATAATAATAACAACAACAACAATAATAATAATAATAATAATAACAACAACAACGTTGGAAGGGATCTTGGAGGTCATCTAGTCCAACCCCCTGCTCAGGCAGGAAAACCTGTACCAGTGGTGGCGAACCTATGGCACGTGTGCCAGAGGCGGCACTCAGAGCCCTCTCTGTGGGCACGCACGCCATGCCCCGGAGATGGCAACCGTCCCTCTTCAACCAGCTAACCGCAAACTCGCCAAGGTCCCACGTGGCTGGATGCATCCCAGCACGGCTTATTTCCCTCCCCCCCGTCCCATCCCTCCTGGCCTCGCATGCTCTCCTTTTCCCGGGCACGACCCACTGCATCGACTCCTCAGCTGTCGACTGTCTGTCCAGCTCAGAGGTGGCTTCTCTGATTATTAATCAAATAATCAAACTGCTGGCAGTAGGCTGCAGAGCCCCAGAGTGCACTAGTCGAGGGGCCGGCAGGCTGTGGCTGCTGACAGACACTGTCGGCCCCCATGTGCTCACTGGCCTCTGTGTGCATGAAGGGGCGATGGTGTCAGGCAGCAGTCGCCCCATCCCCTGCCTCGCCTTGCCCTGTGACAATGGCACTGCCACCCTGCCTCGCCTTGCCTTGCCTCACCCTGCAGAACGAGCCTCCTGCCCACTGCTCCATCTGCCAGAGACCCCCTGGATCTCCCCCAACCCTGCCCGGCCCCCACAGGCGTCCCTCCCCACAAGCAACATCAAGGTGACCACGCCCAGCTTGGTCACACCTACCCAGTCTGCCATGACCACCACAGCCACGCCCACCCAGTGGGCCACATCCACCCAGCATCTGGCGATAAATACATGGGTTTTGGGTTGCAGTTTGGGCACTCAATCTCTAAAGGTTCGCCATCACTGTCCTATACAATTTCGGACAAATGGCTGTCCAGTATCTTCTTAAAAACTTCCAGTGTTGGAGCATTCACAGGTTCTGGAGGCAGGTTGTTCCACTGGTTAATTGTTCTAACTGTCAGGAAGTTTCTCCTTAGTTCTAGGTTGCTTCTCTCCTTGATTAGTTTCCATCCGTTGTTTCTTATCCTGCCTTCAGGTGCTTTGGATGATAGCTTGACTCCCTCTTCTTTGGGGCAGCCCCTGAAATACTGGATCACTGCTATCATGTCCCCCCTCGTCTTTCTCTTCATTAAACTAGACAGACCCAATTCCAGCAACCGTTCCTTATATGTTTTAGCCTCCAGTCCCCTGATCATCTTTGTGGCTCTTCTCTGGACTATTTCTAGAGTCTCAATATCCTTTTTACATCATGGTGACCAAAACTGGATGCAGTATTCCAAGTGTGGCCTTACCAAGGCATTGTAAAGTGGTATTAACACTTCACGTGATCTTGATGTGAGCTTAGTGGAGAAGTCAAACAGATAAATGATAAGAGCGAATTTTTGGAGCATAAAATAGAGAAGAGAGACATTCAACATGAAGCTGAGTTGCGCAATAGATTCCTATTGGAATTACAGGACTAAGAACTTCAGCTACGGATTCTGAACTGTCCCTGAGTTGGGAGAAGATATATAAAATCAAGAATGATTAAATCTTTGGCTCAACCAGCAGACTGGGAAGCAGGAAAAAAGATATTGAATTAGAAATACATAAGATTTACAGAATAAATTCCCAATATGCCGCAATCAGGAAAGTTCTGAGAGTTGCATTAGTCCAATTTGTAAGAAAACAAGTTTTAGATTGTCACTTTATTTTGAAATTGAAAATTGATAATCGTCCTGAATGAAATCTCTTGTCAGAATTTCAAGAAAGAAAAGCCCACACCTTCCCAACAGATATTTTGAAGAAGAGAAAGATTCTATTTCATTGGAATAAACTTGAAAGAGTGATTTTTGTCTATCCATCTTTATTTATATCTTTCTTTTTACCCATAAATTGATTGAGTGATGTCATTCCAGGCAATTTCCCCCACCCCATCAATACAAATAGCACAGACAAAGTGTTGAATGCGAATATATAACATTTTGTATTACTTCTTCATATTTCAAAAGCATCTCCACAGCCCCAAATGACATGATTTTTATATTTGCTCCTTTATAAGTTCGGTAAGCAAACACTTTTGATTTATTTCTTAATCGTTTAAATGCATGTTGAAAGAACAATTACTTTAATGTTCTTGTTTTGTTTTGTTTTTTTTAAAAAAATAAGCAATCAGCATTTATCTCTAGGGGGATTCTCAGTCAGCCAGGTTGTAGTTGTCCCAAAGCTGCTTTTTCAAAAGGCAACTTGGACTTTCTTGTTTTTTCTTTGAAGACGTTTCGCTTCTCATCCAAGAAGCTTCTTCAGCTCTGGCTGTTGTATCCAAACCTCTTTATTAGGAAAACGGAAAAGATGAAAAGAAAGACGGCTACTTTTGTCAGGAAAAGCAGGAGCCAGGGAAAAAGGAGGGATTGTTGCAGTGAGCCTGTGGAGAAAAAAAAAACAGCGGATTGTTTTGATTTAATCATAATCTTGCCCTGCGTAAGGTGGGTGGCCAATAAATTTTACAGATAAAATAAAGCTTGCTCCATCGTAAGTATTCCAGATTAATATCAAGGGTCTCATCAGAATGCAATCAAAAACATGAAGATGGCAGACACTTTTCACCCCC